CGGTCGCCTCTGCTATGGCAGAAAAACCTGACCGCAGCCTTCGCGAAACTTGGCCTCAAACAGAGCCAAGAGGAGCCATGCCTCTTCACAAACAGCTGGCTCACAGTTTTCTTCTTTGTTGACGACATCGTCCTGCTGTACCGTGCAAGACACCAAGACGCCGCAGACGAATTCATCGTCAAACTGAAGACCCAATATGAAATGAAGGACCTAGGGGAACTCAAGTGGTTCCTAGGCATTCGTGTCCTGAGAGACAGAGCAGCTCGCAAGCTATGGCTCTGCCAGGACTCATACATCGAAAAGATTGTAAACCAATACGGGATCACTAAGCGTGACCAATTCAAAGGAAATCTGTTCCCTACAAACGATCTTCAACGTCGAAAGGACCAGGCAAAACCAGACCTTGTTCATCGATATCAGCAGAAGGTCGGCTCCGTCAACTATGTCGCCGTCATAACGCGAGCCGACATCGCAAAACCGATATCCAAGCTTGCAGAATTCCTGCTCAACCCATCAGACCAGCATGTCTACCTGGTGGATCGCCTAATGGAATATCTCTGGCCCACTCGGTTCCTTGCCATTCAATTCAATGGAACAAGTTGCTCCGCGGAAGTGATCAAGATCAACCACTGCAGCATTCCACGAGAACTCCGCATCGCATCAGACGCTGCATTCGCCGACGATCCGGAGACCCGAACATCATCGCAAGGATACATCATAATCCTATTCGGAGGACCTGTCAGTTGGAAAACAGGAAAGCAAACCACAGTCACGACCTCATCAACTGAGGCAGAACTGCTAGCGTTTACTCACACGGCCAAGGAGGCAATTGCCACACAACGTCTATTTCAACACATTGATCTTCAACTAGACCATCCACTCCTTATCGAATGCGATAACAAACAAACAATTAGATTGATCGAAGCTGATCTCCCACGCTTGAAGACACAGCTCAAGCACGTAGATGTTCATAACTGCTGGGCAAGACAGGCCTATCAGCAAGGAGAATTCCAAATCTCATACACGCCAACCACTGAAATGGTCGCGGACGGTCTCACGAAGATCTTACCAGGCCAGAAGTTCAAACATTTTGTCGAACAACTCGCACTTGTCGACATCAGAAGTGTCCTTGAGACACACGAAGAATTCGATAGCGACTGATTCGAACGCTTTCTCGCTCCTTTATTCTAATTCACAGTTTGAAAATGTTCAACCTGGGGGGGTATGTCAAGGTCAAGTCGCTCATTCAAGGCAACAGCCATTGCTATACTGCTGCCTGACAGGCAGCAGTATCACAATAAGTATTTAGTTTCGTATTATTCCACTCTTTATATGGGAAATCAAGAGTCTTTCATTCTGTCTAAGCTGTCCCATACAATCGCGTGTGTGACAGAGTGCTATGGGAATGCGACGCCGTCTGTGATGGACGACATCTGGGGAACGGCAGGCCACGTTGACCAACTTTGCTAATTATCACCGTCGCTAGTGCGTGTAACATCTGGCGGGCCTGTGAGCTGACATGTCGAGCGAGTCTCGGTGAAAAGCAGCCGTTCTGGAGGACGCATCCAATACAGGAAGCATGAGTTGGGGATTGCAATCACAACTCGTCGTTAAGTTCCCTCTTGCCCTAACACACACCACCAATGAGCTAGACACCCTAAAATGCCATACAAAACGGCATTTGATCTCCAATGATATTTATAAAGGAGCTGTAGGTAAAAAAACACATACCCATCACAAAGTCGTCGGTAGTGAAACGCCCATCTACTATGCTGGGCTGGCGTTCCATCCGGCGTACCGCTGGAAGTGGTAGTGTTGAATTCTTCACCGTGCTTTACTCGACGCAAAACGTGTCTGTCAAAGACCCACAGCCACACACCAGCGGCACAATTATCGTTCTGAACAAATGTTAGCATTCTAGGTACAAAAATACAGCTACTTACATGATTTCTAATTTTTTTTTAGATAGCTTAAGGCCGTGGCTTCAATACGAAGTATACCAAGGCTTCGCCTTTTTGCAGGCTTTAAGCCGGTGCGGCATTGAGTGGATAAGGTCCCGGATTTGGTCTTGCGGAATAGCTACCCACGCTTTTTGAAGGCATTCGCAGAATTCTGCGATACACACCTTGTTTCTTCGTAATTCTGAGAGATGAGGGAACATAAAGTAAAACCTGCTTTTTAAACTGCGCTAAACCTGCTCTATTGGGTTGACATCCGGGCTGTGACTTGGTCAATCGATCCACTCGATTGTAGGTCGTCATCTTTCTCGAGTTTGGACCAAATCAATGAAAATAATTGGTTGGTTGAAGTGAATGCTAGTGAAAACCTATGTTAAAGATTGATATGACCTCGAAATAGGGGACGTCAACATATCAGTTGAGAACTGATTGTAAGTCCGCGAGCCAGGGTTGAAAGCCACTCCACTC